ACTACAGTGGATTGCCAAAAGTTTATGGACACTTTTATTTTTTTAATTGTACAATATTTATTTTGATAATTATAATTTTTTTTTTATTACACCTAATTAGGCCATATATTGAAGATTATTTACGTTCAAACTAATTCATAAACTATTGGATTCAAACTGACCCCAGGTACAAATGATACAACATATCAAGTATCAAGTGGATCTATACTATAGGTTAAACTTATTATACTTTATATGGCATACACGTCAACAGCTAGTGGCCTCTAGATATGATTAAGGGGAATGAAAAAAGTTGCTCTATCTTGACCCACATTCCTTGTAGTGTCTTAATATTATCGCCAATCCTTCATTAAGACTGTTCACCCCAATTTAACCTCTGTGGTCCTAAGGTATAAAAATTTTTATTTTTTGAGAAGGTAAAAGGAAAGATGAAAGGGGAAAGAAAAAATTTGTACTGGTAAAATAAAAATCCATTAAAACTACCACTTAATGAGAGCCTTCTTTGATCTTGAGGAGAAAAGAAACCAGCACAAGAGGGAAGGGGAAAGACTTCCAAATACTTCTTATCAAGAGAACACCTCGACACCTTGCTCTTTCGCTTTGTCCAATTACATCATCGGTTGTAGTGTAGTATGACGCGAGGCACGTGTGGGTACGTGTCTTGTTTACATTTCTTTTACGTGTCGATCAACCAATTCAAGATTTTGACCAATCACCAACCAGAGATTCCGGTGTAACAAAAAATTCAGGGTCAAACTGAGGTAGGCAAAATTTCCCAGAAAAAACAAAGAAAATTTTGACACGCTTGAAAGTACTATGCAGCATATATGATTGATGAAGGAGGATCATATACCCAAGCTGTAGATTCCTATCAGCTTATCTACCTGCCTGGACCATAGGAGTTTTAACTTATGGTGGATCCAAGGTTCTTATGGAGCTTGAAAAATATATTTGCTTGGCAGGCCCAACTAGCTTATCCACCTGCCTCAAGACAAAGGTGTTCGCTTATGATAGATTCAAGGTTTTTATGAAGCTTGGGAAATGTATTTACTAGTGGTTCACTTTCTGAAGTTCCAGACCTTTGGAGAAAATAGTGAAGGGTATTTTTCTACAGGTTTCTTCTTCCTAGTAAGATGTTCTTGCTATAGACCAAATGGGTAAAGTTTTGTTTATTTTGTCGCTGAAATATCCAAAGTTTTGAAAAAGGAAGAGTAAACAAGTGGGGAAGGCATCTGCCTTCAGGGAGTAATGTTTTTAAAGAAAGTATATAGACTTTATTATCAAAAATAAAAATTATTTTTGAGAACGTCTGTTTTTTGGGTTGGCAAGGGAATCAGCGAAAAGAGTTTCTATTAATTATTTTGATAATTATAATTAATTTTTTATAAAAATATAATGATATATTTATTTAATATTACTAATTAAAAAAATTTTTTTAATAAAAATAAAAAAAAATTGTTTTATTTATCTTATATTTTTTTTCTCTAAATTTCATGTAATCATTAAAATGGACATGAGAAAAGAACTAATATCCAAATAAAAATCGACTATAATTTATAATTTTAATAGGAAAGATTCATATCACACTATTGTATCTTATGTCAGATATAAAAAATCAGTTGTAAGTAATATTATAAATAAGTTTATTAAAACTGGATCTATGGAATCACAACTTCAAACTGGACAACTATGACTCCTTGATGATTGTGTCTGTATCACTTTTAAAAAACTTGTCACTAATAAAAAAATCAGTTTTTGTGCAATGTAGATGAAACTTTTTATATCAAAAACAAAAATTAAAGTATCTGAAAGGATGATTCGTTGAACTTTACATTATAAAAAGTTAAAATCTCATGTTGTCCATTTTAAACTGCTTGTTTCTGAAAAAATATCGAAGAAAGGCTTACTTGGTCTTTTTAATGTAAAGATTGATTTATTTATGACTTCAAAAAGGTAATCTGAAACAACAAATCGATGTTCTTTCAATTTTAACAAGGAAGTAAAAGCTGTATATGGTGTAAATCACATAAGGAATAGGATATCAACTGTCTTTCTGCTATGATTAGCTATAGCCCAAGTCATATGTATTGGGGGTATTTCTCGTGGTTCGGTACTGGCCCTCTTGTTTCCTTTCACATGTAGTTACAGGTAAGAAAAAATAAAAAAAAAGAAAAAAAAAGAAACAAATAAAAAAGAAAACAAAAACTTAACAGAACTCAAGCAATATGTTAAAAGGTGTTGGGATGAGATAAGTATAGAAGATTGTTAGTGATTAATTAAAAGTATGCCATATTGCATTATGGCTTGTATTGCAGCTGGAGGAAGATTAACAAAATATTGATTATTTAAGTAAAATTAGAAATATAATTAATATGTAAATATTTTATCATATAAAATTTTTTTTTATTTAAAAAACTTTTTTACTGAGTTTTATAAAGTGTTTATAAACCTTTGACAATCCACTGTAAATAAAGAAAGTCAAGTTATATACCTATTTTAAAAAATTATAATCTAGTAAAAAATAATTAAAAAATATTTTAAATAAAAACTTTAATTAATTCACAAAAGAAAAGAAAACAAGTCAAGATTTAGAAAATACTATAGTAACTAAAATCAATTAACAAGTAGTAATAACTTTATAGTTAATTTTTTAAAATATCATAAAACAAGATTAAAAAAATAAAAATAGTTAATATATAATTTAATTAAGATTTTGTTAAGATAAAAAATAATAATAAATTGCAGTAATAAAATCAAGCACTTCTAGAAAGCAAAAAACAAGAGAGAAAAACTTTATTCATCTTCAAAATTATATTTAAAGATTAAATATCAAAAATGAATATTAAAATATACAAAATAGTTTATGTATAAAAGCACTTGTATAATTATATTTTCTTTTTCAAAATTAAATAATCACAATTGATTATAGAAAAAAAGTTATATAAAAATTTTTTTTATAAAATGTATAAAGTAATTATTTATTTTCTTATTATAACATTGCTTTTTTTTATATCTAGAAATTAATTTAAAAAATATTGTATTATTGTAAATTCCATTTTTGTTTACAATTGTAGAAAAAGTGATTTGAAAAAAACATTACGAAATAATTAGGCTATTTTATTTTTGTTTTTATTTTCTAAATTTATTTTTAACAATATTAATTTAATTTAGATTATTAGTTTAAGGGACATTAAATGGAATAATTTGCTCCGGAGTAACATTGGAGTAATAATACCCAGTCCAAGAGAAATCAAGATAAGTATGCACCGGAGAAAAATCGGTTGGAAGTTTTAATAGTCCTTTTATTAGAGTATTCAATTGTATTACAATCCAGCTATTTCGGTAGATAGTAATTATATGTTGAATTTTTAATGAATCGCCCAACAAACTCCATTAACAACCCTAATTAGTTTAAATTAAAAAATCAAATGAATCCGTATAAAAAATAGTCCGATATTAAACCATACAAACTTAATTCAAGTCGAATAATTATAGCTACTGAAAAAATTTCTTATAAAAGAATAGTTCTGTGATTTTTGCTTATATTTACTGTAAGAGTTAGTTGGTATGTTATAGTATAAAATACAGTATATTTAATACACGTAGCTAATATAAAAAAGAAAAAACTATATTATACAAATAAAGGATTAATTAATAATTTTTGGATTGTAATTTTTTAGAATTTTTAAATCATCTAAACTTAAAACTTTATTATCTTAATGAATACGTGCAAAAATAGATGTATTATATTATTTCTATTGTAAAGGTTAATTATCCTTAAACTTGTTTCAACCAAGTTAAAGTAATTCATTGTGCAATTGGTTATAGACATTTTAAGCCTAGCACCAAATACAATGTTAATGTATTTGTAATTATAGCTTGGATAGATTTTTACTATAGTATTATTGAGTGATTTACATTATATTAAGACTTATAATGATTTTTATATTTGATTAAACTAGATTTTTGAGAGTATAAAAACCTCTGCAAATAAATAAATAATAAAAATACGGAAAATACTAAACCCTTTGTCCCGTGTACGACACAGCTTTAAACGTTTTAACACTAATCTGCATTTGGAGAAATTTCTTTCGAAACTCCGGAGTAGTACGCATGAAAAATTTTTCGAAAACAAAATACTATAGAAATTTCTGAAATCATTTCCTTATCTTATTTTATTCAGGAAGATAACACCTGCTTCGTTTTACATTACACTTGCTTCTTCATAAGAGTTGACTATATAAGCAATAATATTGATAATCAAGCACGGAACAGTTTCCAAATCTTAGATGTTCATGGTATTTATGTGACCATATTTGTCATTTCTCAAAGTCATTACCCTGTGCCTATAAAAGAAGCAAATTTCAACCTTCGATATTGCTAGTCTTATTATAATATTTTGCAAACATAAACAAATACTATTATAACGTAAGAATCTTTCTATTTCATAAATATTTTAATTTCAAAGACTTAGTATAAACACTCATAAAATAGTTTGCTCATCAACCTGAAATTAATAATTGATTTATTCTTAAGAATGAAAAGAAAATTTGATGATACTTTTGAATTAGTGGGAGAAGATAATGGTGAATTAGACACGCACAGTAAATTACTTTCGGGTTCAAATGACTTTTTACTTGAGATAGAGCAAGACGATACTTTTGCACTAAGAGACAGTGAAAAAACCTGCAAAATATTGGATATACATAACGAATCACCTTTAGATTTCAATAAATTTTTAGACTTAGAACCGGGGGATGCTTCATTTGGAAAACGTGGGGAAATCCACAGAATGTTGGATAAATACCAAGAGTCACTTGATGACCTCAATAGATCACTAGAAATAGATCCAGAAAATGCAGCTGTATTAAGAAGCCGTGGGGCAATATACGGCATGTTTAATATGCATAAGGAATCACTTTCGGACCTTAATAAGTCATTAGAATTAGAAAAAAATGACTCCTCTGCGTTAAGAAATCGTGGAGTAGTTTACAGAATGTTGGGTAAATATAATGAATCACTTTTGGATCTTAATAGATCATTGAAAATAGAACCAAATAACGCCTCTGCGTTAAGAAATCGAGGAGTGGTTTATA